CAAATATAAGTTTGGCGTGTACTATCATATTTCCAGACATACTCTCTAATAGAGGGTTCTTGGAGGCTTTGATCGACTTCGCTTTTGTTGCGAACCTAAGATGGTAAGTCAGAGCTAGCCAGACGTGAATGAAAGCTTACTCAATGGTTGCACGAGTTTGTTTAATCCACTTCACTCCAGGAGCTAGGTGACATATCAAAAGTGTTTGGGATTTTCCAGCAAGTGCATTCTTTAAAACTCTTGTCAGATTGCTGTCCCGGTAACGAATATGCTTCTGAAGATGTCGATCAGTAAAAGTCAAGGACAGTACTATAGATACCAACAGATCCCTTATTCAGACCAGTTATGACACCACTCAAAGCACTGAGGCTCTTGTTGATACTGGCGGATTCTTGTTTCTGACTCTTCGGCACATGCTCGGGGCGTTCCGACCCAGCCAGGTCAACAAATTCAATAGTTCCCTTTAGGTGACTGGATCCAGCGTCGTAGATCAAGAGTTTAAATATTGCATGAGAACGAGAAGAACGTTCATTCGCGGCTGTTGGAGCTTTACGACGGGTGTTGACGGCTGAGCTATACAGACACATTAGACATTTAGATAAAATTTAACATTATCTCACTCTGTAAGTGTTTTAAACTCTTCCAGGGTTGAGAACTCATGAACGCCGAGGCCCGAGATAATGACTCTTTCTTCTTTCGTCTCTTGAATATTTAGTTTCTGTTGTTTCTGTGTATGAATGAGTACTCTGGTCTGTATAATGGAAGGTAGAGTCCATTCTGCTTACATCCTTTTTGGCCAGAAGGTCGTAGCAGTCCTCGCAATACACCTCCAAAAATTGTAGCTTGTATCGATAGTCGGAAGAAGGTCTTTCTCGGTGTTGCAAGAGATACTATAGATATATTGATTTGGTCAGGACAGATACAAACACTTGTGTTTCACTCACCGCGATAGCCTGGTAAATGATACCTTCGATTTGACCGTTCCCGAACATAGTAGTGGACTTTCCTGCACTAGTAGACCCGTAACAAAGAATCGCTAATATCTGTGCACCGTAAATCAGTCGAAGAGAACCTCACCGAGGCCACACCTCTGCGACTTACATTGCCATTATACACATCATCTAGCATAGGAGCCACTTCTATGTCGAATATATTCTGAGAGTCTCCTTGATTGGTAGAGGCAGGCCCGTAACAAGCTGCAAACTCGCTACAACAAAGCCAAAGTCAATGGTTATCCCCACACGTTTCCAGAGCGGCCACAATATATAGGGATTTGATCACGGTTCAAATGATAAAGGAAATTGTACGCACTTGTACTGTATCCTCTGGCCAGGGTTCCGAGGGTCCCTGATGGAAATGACGGAACCCTCTGTCTGGAGGACATCATCTCGTTGATCTCCGGGAAGGAATGGGCGTGTTCTGGCTATAAACTTGACCTTGGCCATTGAGATGGGCTGCTCAACGCGTAGAATTGATCAGGGTCGACGAGGTTGAAAGGAGAAGATTCAAATTCAAACTCCGACTTGTCGAGATCACGACATTCTGAATTCAGGCAAAGCGAAACTCGAAGAACACGCAATCTTAGTTAAAACAGTTTCTAATGATTTGTAAGAGCTATATGCACTACGGGGTTGGTTGATATCTATGTAGCCTTTGGCTTACCGTCCCGTCAATGCGAGCAAATCCAATTATTTAGTCGTACATGTGTCACAAAACTATCGATCCAAATGAGGTTGCAAGCAAGAAACGAGAGAATCATAGAGTTCATGCTGTAGATAGTACAAGGTAACAGATCAAATGTGTATTTTTTTGGTGAGAGATTTTTTGATACTCGTGAAAGACCTAGTGATCCGCTTTCGAACGGAGAGCTTCTAGTGATCATATCCGGTTTGTTAATCGAAGTCGAAGAGGGTATCGTCATCCGACGGCTTCGGAGCTCCGGGAACACTGCCAGTGTTGACAGCAGCAAGACGGGTGGAAGCGGAGGGAGAAATGCCAGTTGAAGGTAGATTTTGTGCCAATGTTGCCCAAGAAGTCGTGCGCATAGCGCTGACGCCACCGGGAGAAGACGATAAGGCAGATATGTTTGTCATATCACCACCAAGGGACGATAAACCAGAGTTGGATGGGCTCCCTACAGTGTTTCCTAAGAATTGAGACCTCAATGGGCTGCGAGGGTTGGCTTTGACTGCTCCATCGGGCATCGCGTTCATTCCCATACCCATGCCCATGCTCATTGTTGATCCTGGCAACTTCATACCACTCTGCTGGCCCACTGCTGAAGGTACGAGGTGCAGACGGAACCCGGCAGCTATACCTTGAGGCAAGCTTTGGCCGGGAGCATGTGATTGCAGAGCTCGAGAAGACGGGGATAGCGCATCGGTACCAAGCTGAACCACTCGGGATGAAGCCTGGGTATAGGGAGATTCATATCGATTTCCTGCTCTGGCAGCAATGGCAGCGGGAGTTGGAACAGCACCAAGAACGTCTGTCTCTTCGTACGATTGGGACAGGATTTGTCGAGTGAGGTAGGAGGTGTTGGAGTTGACTGCAGTCGGGCGTGTATAATGTGGGCCGTGTAGGAAGGCACCCGAAGCATTCGAGGTACCCATTTGGATCTGAGTGGGTGAAAAGCCTTCACTGCCAAGACCATTGCTACGGAAGGAGAGAGAAGCAGTAGAAAGATGCCCAGTCTCCCGGTCATTGTCTCTCCAAATGGAAGGATTATCCAAGAGTCGAGCAGCTGGAACGGACCTCGAATATCGATGGTTGCTCGTCATACCCATGCTACCAACGCTACCAAGCCCGATATTCCCAACGCTGCCGTCATTCGGGGCTGCAGATGTCATTCTGGGGCCACCAGAGCGACTGAGGCGGCGACGTCTCTCCTCAGGAGTGAGGAGGTCATTGAGAGATGACGGAAGGAATTCCTCGAGGTCTTCTTCATCTGAGCCAACAGCGTTCTCAGTCCTCTCGGCAAGGGTTGGTGGACGCCAAGGTTGCCTTTGAATGGCGATAGGACTCTGTTCAGATCGCTCGCTAGGCATACCACGAGAATAAGCACCGAAGATAGACTGCTGCATTCTCTCACCCTGTGTAAAGGGAGAGGTAGAGGGCTGGATGTGATTGGCGGTAGGGCTTGTGCCTGGAGAGAAATGATTCTGACCAAGAGGGGATGAAAAAGGCGGTCGCATACCCATGGCGGAAGAGAGTGGATTGCCACTTGGGGGAGATCCTATTGGACCATACCCCATGTCGGACGACCCATTTCGACCCGACGAGAACCGCTTTGGGACTGTTGGTCTAGACTGAGCACCAGAACCATTAGGAGCGTCCGCACCGGTTCCTGGGGTACCAGCGTCCTTATCCAAGGCCAACCCATTGAGTATCTGCTCTGGTATCGTCTCTGAGTCTGCTAGAGAAGTCGACCCGGCTTGGACTTCCGATGGGTCCGAGGTAGAGGGGGCTGTTGCTGTAAGATTTCCTGGTTGTTTCGACGAAAGCCGTTGTGGCTTCTGATCCTCATTGCGATCTCGATCGCGACCGTTAGTGATTCCACTAACGCTAGTACCAGCGCCGCGAGCTCGTTTATTCTTGTTGGTGTTGCCACTTTGCCCATCTGTGCCATTTTGAGCGGCATTATTGGTATTGCTTGCTTGATTGCTTTGCTGTGCTGCTTTCTTGTTCTTCCTATCCATAGTCATTG